GAGCAACAGGGACGCAGGCGGAGGACGGAGGACGGAGGAGAACGAAGGATAGAGAGAGAGAGAGAGAGAGACGAGCCTAGGAGAAAGAGGGGGAATACTGACCGACCATGAGGCGACGAAAAGGGAGGACGGATGGTGGAAGTAGATGCGAGACAGGGAAGAAATCGGAGGACAACGCACTAAACGGTTTTGGCGACGCCCTTCAAAAACCAGCATTGCAACTCTGGGCTTGACTCCCAGTCCAGGTCGGTCAAAACGACATCGGGGGGTGTCAACCCCAAGCCCGATGAATGATCATCATTCCACCTCCTCACCCAACTCCCCCCTTCTCCTGCCTGTCCTCCTGCTCCTCCTCCTCCTCCTCCTCCTCCTCCTCCTCCTCTTCTGATCCTCAGTTTCCTCAGACAAGGAGGCCCAGACAGGCGCAGCAATATGTTAAACACCTCTCTCCTCATTACGCCACCTTCCCGCCCCAGTCGCGAACACACGCAAACACACAAATGCACACACACACAGACAAACACACACAGACAAACACACACAGACAAACACACACATGCATGCACACACAAATGCACACACACACACACACGCGCACACGCAACACACACACAAATACACGCACACAAGCACATGTACCCGCTTTTGCTTGGCGGACTCGCGTGCGCCGTCGAGGTCTGGTTCGACACAATGTACAAGTAAAATCCGTTGCGCCAGACGGGACGAGGAACGTGCGATAGGCAAGATGGGGCAACTGCACACACACACACACACACACACGAACACACTTGTTTTGCGTCACGGCCCTGCAGAGGCAATCCGTACGCGCGCTCGGGCAAGCAAGCACACACACACACACACACTCATAGACGCAGCAGTCCCGGCGAGGTGCGCAGGGCACCGCCGGCGCGGGGACCCACGGGGGAGGCACCGAGCCGCACACGTTCGCCTCCGCCGGCGGGGCAGCACCAGGCAGCCTCGACAAAGGCGCACGGCCGTATTAATCGTCCCCCGGGTCCGGTTTTTCAAGGCGCCCTTTTTGTAACTGGCGGGGTCCGTTTTATGAGGGCGTTCTCTGTGGATTGGAGCTTAAAGGGTCCGGTTTGTTAAGGCGCCCCGTCGAAGAGGGGGGTCCGGAATATTAGGTCGCATTTGGACGGGGTTCCCGTTTTTTTGGGGGGGTGGTCGATGAACAAGGGATTGGAGTAAAAAGAAACTTTTTGCGCCCTCCTCCCTTGCGCGCGGAGCGCGCCAGGGGCGGCGCCGGAGGCGCCGCCCAGGGGGGCCCAGCGCGGATCCAGGAAATCCGTGCGGAGCGCCGAACGTTTACTTATATGGCGTAATTTCTTCTTCGATGTAAACAGATTGGTTGCACCCTGCGTTAAGGACGAAGGGAGCCAAACTGCGCAAAAAACGGCACGCGGAGGTTATGTTGTTCCCATCGGACAGGAGGATCACATCCCAGAAATAATTTCAAACACCCCAGAAAGAATCGTAGCAGTGTCTGCTGGGCACGCAAGCGAAAACCCGAACGAATATCAGCTCCCAGGGACCGACGCATAACCATCCTGCAGTTTCGATACTTTCTTGCTCGAAATCTCTTCTGGTGATCACGGCTGGAGTTAGTTGGAACGTGAACAACCCGAATGGAAGAAGCCCAACCAGAAAGCACTGGAAGTCGCCCACACATTCCCCTTTAGCGGCTGGGCGACGACAGCGCAGCGAATAATTACTGGGGCGCGCGGCGCGGAGTTCGATTACCACCTGGCGTTGCAGACGCGCGTGGTAAAATTACTACGCTTACCCTTGTCCAGGGTTGTTTGTCGCCCACCGCGGGTAAGGTTCTTTTGCGCTACGATGGCAAAGCCGCTGCATCAACATTGCGGCCGAACTCTGGCAATGCGAGATCGCTTCGTCCAAAAGACGATGCATTGGCGCCCGCGCTGTAAACCACTGACGGTCTGCCTAACTTTGGAACAGTTACAGCACAGGCGAAAGACAAATCTCATGAGCAATCAGGCTAATCCAACGGGGTGATATCAGACCGCCCAGCATCCTTCCAGGGGAAAGCCGCCGAGATGGGGACCTCCCAAATTTTGTGAACTCACGCCAGAACTGATGTGCCCCCAACGGTTTGGGGATCCGTTTTCAGACCCAAGAAAACTAATACACTTGTCCCTGTCCAAAAATGAAGGGGCCCTGGGACACACAAATAAATACACACAAATAAAAAGATGCCCCATATTTTCCCATATTTTCTGGGTTTTTGTCTTCCAGCCCAATTCCCATATTTTCCCATATTTTCTGGGGAATCGACGATTAATTGTGTCTGTGTGTTTTTTCCCCTCCTGAAAAAACCCTGTCCCTCACAGACCTCTGTGAACGCCCGCGCGTCGAGACGCGTCGCGCCCTGGCCACGCCCCCAGGAAGCCTCTCGCGAGGCAACACAAGGGGAAAACCAGGTGTAAATAGTTACTCCAGATTTCGTAATAAAGGGAGTGGGGCTTCATTTTGGGGGGGGGTCTCTTCCAGGCTATCTTGGAGGGCCTGGGGGGGTCTGGGGACGATGTTTTGGAGGGTTCTCCCACGGGGGAGGTCTGAAATGGCTCGTCTTGGAGGGTCCAGACCCCCTCCCTTTTATTACGACATCTGGAGTATCCCGGAACTCGTTGAGCGTCGCCTGCCATGCCCGCAGTCGCACCGGAGCGCAAGAGTTTCTGCTCCGCGCTCTCCAGCAGAAGGACGAGCCCCGAGCCCAAGCTGACGGACAATGCGTTTGGCGAGTGGCACATCCTCCCCAAAAGGAGGTGCGCCAGCGTTCGAGCCGAGGGCGCGCGCGCGCCTCCACAAAGACGGCGCGCAACCTGCGAGACTCTTCCCCCGGACAGGGGTCGGGATACTCCAGATTTCGTAATAAAAGGCAGGGGGTCTGGACCCTCCAAGACAGGCCATTTCAGACCCCCCCCGCGGGAGAACCCTCCAAAACATCGTCCCCAGACCCCCCCAGGCCCTCCAAGATAGCCTGGAAGAGACCCCCCCCGAAATGAGACCCCCCTCCCTTTATTACGAAACCTGGAATAAGTATTTCGTTGCGGAAGACGGGCGGTCTGGACGAAGTCGTACACACACAAGCACTTTGAGTCAGCGGCGAACTGGGTCCAAGACGCGGCCGGGGCAGCCGAGGGACGCTTCGGGGCCAAACTGCCGCATCCACACACACAAACACGTCTTGAGTCGGCGCCCACGTGCGCAGCATACCGCCGGGCCACGCGAGGCCGAAGCCGAGCGAGGAGAGACGGGCCAGGAGAGGCGGACGCAGGGGCGGCAAAAGCGGACGACCATGGATGCTGAGAGCGGGCAAGAGGGAACGCGATCTCACTTTTGCCTCGGCGGCTAATTTGGCAGAGTCGCTGCGCTGGCGAGGAAGCAAAAGGGAACTGCCGTCAAGCGAATTGTGCCACCATGCAGGAGAGGGGGGGGAGAGACAACGAAGCGACGGCCGAATAGGAAGAGGAAGCGGGCCAGGGGGGAACGGGACGCTCCACAGGGCGGGTGGCGCGGCCGTCACCGCCGCGGGGCCAGCAAAGGCACTCACACTCGCACACATGCACACACTTTTTGGTGGTAGTGGCCTCGCGCGCGGCGACGAGGTGGAGACAGCAAGGGCACGAAGCTCGGAGCCGCGGCCGGGCCCTCAGGAATCGCTTTGGATCCCGCCGCCACACACACACACACACACACACGCACATGCACGCACACGGCTAGCTGCCGCCGTCCCGACTGTGCTGCCCGACCACCTGCGCGGGCAGCCGAACGTTCGCGCTTCGCGCTGCGCGAGACTCGCACAGCGTCGCGCTCCCGCGCCGCGCAGCCTGGGGAGAAGAGGAGGACGAAGAGGATGAGGACGAGGACAGGGCTGAACCTAAACGGTGATTTTCGTTTTCGTTTTGTGTTCGTTTACCCTCACTTTTGCCTCGAGTCCGCCTTAACCGCAAAACGAAGTCGAAACGAGAACGGCCCACGAAATCACCGAACACACCGTTTAGGTCCAGCCCTGGACGAGGAGCCGCGAACCCCGCGCCACGAACCGCGACTCGCTTCGCTTCCTCGTGGCGGCCCTCGGCCGACGGGGGTCGAACAAACATGTTGGTAGGCCTCCGCACTCCGGTCACCCCACCGGGCCTCCCGAGGCCTCGCAGAGGCCTCCTTGGACCTCCAGGGACCTCCTTGGAGAGAGGCCGTTTTGCGCTTGGCTCTGGCAGGTGCACTTGCGATCGTGCTTGCATAGCAGGGGGATTTGGGGGGGGGACGCGGCGAGGTCCGAAAGGAAGTCTGAGCTTTACGCCAGTCGGGATTCACTTGCACGCCTTTTCGGCCCGGCGCTGCTTCAGAAGGCGGCGGGTGGGGGGGGGTCGCGATGCCATGCGAGCAAGGTCGCCTGCGTCGAAAGTAACAGACCCTCTGACCTGACAGAGGGAGGAGAAGCGAAAGATGAGACGAGCAGGGAGGAGCGGGCGCAGGAAGAGACGCACACGCCTCGCCACAAACTTCGACGACGTCCGAGCAGCAGCTGCCCGTGTTCACGCAGTCCGGGTTGCACTGGCAGAGGTTGGCAGGGTCGTACTCGACGCAGCCGTACGTCTTGCAGCTTCCTTGGTCCACCTGGGGCACCTGGATCGTGTACTGGTCCCAGCAGGAGTTCTCCTGCACGGCGCAGGCGTAACTCCTCCACAGCTGGCACGAGCCCTGCTGGCCTCCCCAGCCGCTGCACTGCGTGGCGCTGCGCCTCTGAAAGCCCACACAGCCGGGCTCGGAGAAGCACTTCTGCGCGCATGCCAGCGCGCCGCCCTCCTCCACGGTCTCCGGCCCCAGGGAGACCTCCTCGTAGTTCGAGCAGCCCATGCCCTCGAGCACCATGACCGCAGCAAGGCCCCCACCCAGAGGAACCTTTGTCGGCGCCGAGACGTCGACCACGGCGGGAGGCGTCGTCGTCGTGGTCGTCACCGTCGACGGGGCCGCGGTGGTGAGGTCCATGTTGATGTCCCAGCGCGCCGAGTGCCCATCGCCCTCCCGGAAGAAGCCCGGCCTCTGGGGAAACCGAACGCGAGCCGTGTCTTGACGGTCCTTTGGGGTCCGGTGGGGGCGCCCGGCGGCCGAAGAGATCGCAGACCACCTCCCGTCGCTACCCTTTCGCGACGCACAAGGGTCGGGCCCCCTTTCGTTTTGGAAGGGGGGTAGGGACGCACGCATCGATGCGCTGCTCCCCGGGCCTCTCCCGAGGAGCGTTCTGACCTGGATGTCGAGGATGGTCCCAGCGGTGGGAAAACGAGGGCCTCCCGCGACGACCCAGCATGACACCCCCACCCCCGACGGCGGCACCCGCGGGGGTCCGTGGCAGGCGAGGTTATGGGACAGGGGTGGCGGCCTACGAGGCTGGCGCTCAAGCGTGGGCTGCTCCCCCTAAAATCCCACTCCCGGTCGCGGCACCTAGTTTTAGGTCGGGCACCTCCTCCTACAAGCGGATTTTGGAGGACAAATAAAGGATATTCAACACATATTCCAAAATGATTTAAACAAATTCATAAAAGTCGTCTCCCGACTATTTTTAAGACTATGTTTGAAAACTCCTCCTATAGAGAGAGACGTGCCCGACGTAAACCTAGTCTGCAAGTTTGCTGCACCCCCGTGGTGGTTGGGGGTGGGGGTGTCATTCGGGGTTACGATCCCAGGGGGCCCAACAAGGCGAAGGCGATGCAGGGGCAGCGGCATCGATACCTTCTTCTCCTCCGCGCCTCTGGCTCGAGGGCACCGCGTAGTACGCGACCTCGTCGGAGATGGAGGCCAGCGCCACGTCCACGTCGAGGCAGCGCGGCGTCTCTTCGTTGAACACGCGCGACTTCCAGACGCGCTGCACCTCTCGCGCGCAGAGAGCATCAGAGCGGGGGGTGTCCGAGCGGTCCTTTTGGGTGACACGAAAGGGGGTCCAGCTGAAAGGGGGTGGTGCAATAGATTTGGGGCAATTGTATTGCAAATGTCTTGCGCTGGAGACTTGTACTGCATTGTGTTGTAAGTATATGCATCGCACGCGAAAATGCAGCAACGCATCTGCGCCCCGACATATATATATATACACACGTATATATACGTATACATATATATATATGGCACGCCCAACAAATTTATTGCAGCCCAGCAAACCTATTGCACCAAATCTATTGCACCTCCTCCTTGTCGCTGTACCCCCTTTTGGGCCAACCCGAGTCTCATCGGCGGTGGACAAACGGCCTGGGACCGAAACCGACGGTCCTGGCCCCGCAAAAATGACGGCCGCGCCGCCCCCTCGCGAACCGAAACCGGCCAATTCCTGAATCGACGTGTCAGCGTAGGAGCTCTGTCCACCTCCGATGACTACCCTTAAGTCGGGCCTGTCCCCCTACAGGGGGGTTTCCGATGAAAAATAAAACATACCCCAAACATAATCCAAAAATAATCCGAAAATCGTCTGGGGACTAGTTTTGGAGTATTGTTGACCGTTGTGGGGCATTTTGGGGGTATTGTTTGACCTTCATCCCCGCGCGCGCGTCGTCGGATCGAAGACTCGGCCAGCGTGCGGGCACGCCGTGCGGGCACGCCGTGCGGGCACGCGGTGCGGGCACGCTGCTGGCCGCGCGGGCGCGCGCCGTGCGGGCCCGCTGCGCGTGCAGGGCTCGGCGGGCGCGCGCGCGCGCGCGGGCGCACGGCGCGTGGGCGCGCTGTGGCGAGGAAAGGGGGCCGAGCGGTCACTCGAGTGGCTGAAGTGCGGATCCGTGGCGAAGATTATGCTTGTTGCGTTGTTGTTGCTGTTGCTGTTGCTGTGGTGTGTGTGTGTGTGTCTTGGTGTTGTTATTGCTGTTGTTGTTGGTGGTGTTGTTGGTGTTGTTGTTGGTGTTGTTGTTGCTGCTGTTGTTGATGATGTTGTTGTTGGTGGTGGTGGTGTTGTTGTTGGTGGTGTTGTTGTTGGTGTTGTTGCTTGTTGTCGTCGTCCCCCCTGCGACCCAGCCCGCGACCCGGCCCGCGACCCACCCCGCGACCCAACCGCGACCCCCCTTCGATTCGCACTTGTAGGGTGCTGCGTATTCCCTCGCGGTCTGGGCCCCTCGGCCGCGTCCCCGTGGATGCTGGGCGACCATCAGCGAGGAGGTCGCGCGCGGAGAGCGTGCCCGTGGAAAATCGCACCTATCCGTGGGATCGCGCCGCGGAGGTCAGACCGCGAGAGAGCGCGGAGGTGCAAACATGCTTGGCCTGCCGCCCGCGAGCCTCCGCGAGGGCGTCGGTGCGGTAGAGCATGGCTGATGGGCCCTTTCTCCACCACCACCACCATACGTAGGGGGAGGGGGGCCTCCTCCTACGGAGGGGGAAGGGGGAGGGGGGCCTCCTCCTCCTCCTCCTCCTCCTCCTCCTCCTCCTCCTCCTCCCCCTCCAACTTATGGTGGTGGTGGTGGAAAACAAGCCCATCAATGGCGTGCATGCCCCAGTTCACGCCGTGGCGGCAGCCCCAGGCCGGCTCGTTCCCGTCGGGCTGCACCCGCAGCAGGTGCCTCGAGACGCACTTGCCTGCCCCGCCCAGCCCCCACGCCGAGGAGGGCCCTCCCGCCCAAGCGCGTACGTTACTGCGCCCGTTGTCCGCCTCCCCCCTCGTCGGATGAGGAACGACTCCCGGAGATTGACAAGACGAGCCCCGCAACCTGTGAAAGCCCCAGCCCAGGAAGCAGCAGCGCGAGCCCCGGACTCGAAGACCCAGAGAGCGGGATCACACAGAGCGCAGACGCAGCGCGCACATCAGCACAGGGAACTCCCCCTCCTCCTCCTCCTCCTCCTCCTCCTCCTCCTCCTCCTCCTCCTCCTTCCCTCCTCTTCCTCCTCCTCCTACTTTTGCGTTGCGCAAGCTCCTCCTGTTTCTCCGCCTGCTGCTTTATTGTTATTAGTATCCTCCTCCTCCTCCTCCTCCTCCTCCTCCTCCTCACCTGTCCTCTCTTGGCCTGCTCGTGCACTCCTCTCCTCGACCTTCTCGTCATCCCATCCCCTCTCCGCCGCCTAAGAGCAGGAGGAGGAGCATGAGCAGGAGGAACAGCCGAGGAACAAGAGCGTCAGGAGGAGGAATAGCAACAGGAACACCACGAGGAGCAGCAGGAGCCTGGTGCAGCAGCTGGTGCAGCATGAGAAAAAAGGAACAGCAGTAGGAGCAGCTGGAGGAGAAGCAGAAGTAACAGCAAAATAAGCAACAAGAAGAGCATCAGGAGGCGCGGCAGGAGGATCCAGAGGGCAGCAGGAGGCGCAGCACGAGCAGCAGCAGCAGCAGCAGGAAGAGGGAGCCTTTGAGCAGCAAGCACGAGTGCTGAAATGGCAGCAGGGGGAACGCTTGGAGGAAGAGCACCAGAGCAGCAGGAGAAGCAGGGCAACATAGGTATCATTTAACCGATCCCCATCCCCGCCAGCGTGGGCTGGGCCCCACTGGCCGATTTATCCCCCTGATGGGGATGTAGGCTGCTCTCTTTTCGGGTTTAGAGGGGCATATCCCCAACTGAGGTGGTGAGACGGTGGGGCTCGATATGTGGATGGGGACGGGGATAGGGATCGGTTAAACGATACTGAAAAAAGGAGGGGGAGACGGAGCAGGAGGACCATTAGCAGGAGGAGCACCGGGGGAGCAAGAGCATCAGGAAGAGCAGCAGTAGCAGGGCGGACGAGGAGCAGCAGCAGCAAGAGGTGCAGCAAGAGTACCACCAGGATGGGCAGCCAGAGGAGCAGGAGAAGCAGCAGGAGAGCAGGAGGAGCAGCAGAAGGAGCAGCAGGAGGAGCAGCAGCCAGAGATATAGAGGGGGGAGCAAGAGCAGGAGCAGCAGGAGGAAAGGAAGCAGGAAGACCAGCTGGAAGAGCACCAGAGGAAGAAGAGGAGGAGGAGAAAGAGGAGGAGGAGGAGGAGGAGAAGGAGGAGGAGGAAGAGCACCGGAGCGGCAGCAGGAGCAGCAGCAGGAGCAGCGAGGACTGGAGCAGCAGCACGGCGAGGAGGAGGAGGAGGAACAGGAGGAGCACCGGAGCGGCAGCAGGCGCAGGAGAAACAGCAATAGAACAACAGCATTCCTTGCGTTCCTGACATGACCAGCGAATCGAATGCTTGCCAGTGCCCATGTATGCTCGTGAGCACCAACGCATGCCTGGCAAAACCACACATACTCATGAACACAACGCCGTACTGGAAAGGGAGCCGGCACCTCCACGCGCACGCTCGGTACACGGTGGGTAGGTAAGAGCGACCCCACGTGACGGACCTTACGGATTCCCCCAACGATGCTTGCACTGCGGGGTTCTTACTTACGTGTCTTGCTTCAGGACCCAGGTTGTTCATGGTGCCCGCCCGTGGGCGACTCGTGGGCGCTACGTGAGTGGGTGGGTCAGCCGAGATTTCGCCTGGTGTCCCCCCTCATGGGAGCCTCGTGGGCGCCTCGTGCGCTGGGTGGGTCAGCTGAGCTTTCGCCTGGTGTGCGTTCGTGGAGACCTCGTGCGCGGGGTGTGCCTGGTAGAATAAAACTCACGTCTCGAACGCCCCAAAAGGCTTCCACGTTTCGTGTATTTGACATTCTTGGGGTCGTCTGTTTCTGTGGCCGGGCTGGGGGTGTCCCAGTTTCCATGGTCGTGGCTCCAAACTCGAGGGAGGGGGGCCAATCATCCTGTGGTGTTGGGCCCTTGTGCCGAAGAGACAGCGCCCCGCGTCAATCACCTCCCTCCCACTGCCCCTCCTCCCTCCTGCCATCTCTGCCTCGGCCCCTTGCGTGTCCATGTCAGAACTCATAAGGAGCTCCACCGAAGGGCCCAGTGGCAACGTGAGCATGGCACCGCCCCAGACCCACGACGTCATGATTCCTTCATGACGTCGACCCCCAGAGGTCTCGACCCATTCCCCCGGGACCGGCTTCTCCTCCTGGGCCGTTTCTGTTGACGGTCCCGAGGCCAAGCGGGGGTCCCCAGGTGCCGAAACTGGCAGAAATCTCTCGTCATGATGTGTTCATTGCTCGAGGGGGTCTGGGACCGAACCTAATTCGGCACACCCCTCACGCACTTCGTGGCACCGCGGGACGCCCTGGGGCGAGTCATACATAGATGGCAAAAAATCCACCCCCATGATAACCACCCCGACAAGCAAGGCCGTTCCGTCAACGCACCCAAAAAAGGAATCGAACAGGGCAGGGCTGTTTAGTAAACGCCCAGGGCCGTTTAGAGAACGCCAATTAACGGGTCTGGGTGTTGTTTCCTCCCTGGAATACAAGCCCTGGTCCCACAACCTCCCTCTCCGACCCGCCAGCCCCACTGGCCCTAACTGCGGCCAGCGGCTCCCAACACTGCACCCCGCCAGCCCGAAGCGACCCTCAGCGCCGCCACACTTCCCCTTTGCCTGACGGCAACTCAACGTGGGGACCGCGCGTCGACTCGATCAGCGCCCCTCCGGAGCAGGGACCAAGAAGGAAAAGGAACTGCCAACACTCTGCAGCGATGGCCTGCCTACCAGACGTGACTCGAGCGTGTACCACCCCCCCTGGCAGACCCAGCAAGACTTCGTTGCTGCCCCATGTTCCCCCCGCGGTCCATAAGGGCAGCGGGACATCAGCGAGGCCACCTTAGACAGACCACCCCGATCGGCCCAGCGGCACCCGCGGCAGAGGCCGACGACCAAGGCCGATCAGGGGCGACTCGCTGGAGGCCGCTGCCGCTTTCACCCACACGTCGGGGAACAGCACGCGACAGAAACGCGCGCTTCCGCAGAGATCCGCGCGGATTTCTTGGACGGGCGCTGGGCCCCCCTGGCGGCGCCCCCGGTGCCCCTGGCGCGCTCCGCGCGCCAGGTAGGGGAGTCCAGCGCCGACCCAAGAAATCCGCGCGAACCTCCGAAAGTTTTCTGTGGCAGCTCGAGCGAGCCTGCCATGTAAACTTTGTGGCTCTTGCGACACGACGCAATCGACGTTAGTCGAAGCTGTGACGCGAATCGAACAGAACTTTACGTTTGCTCATGAACTACCCAGCGCTATGCCATTCAAAAAGACGGAAGTGCGACTGTATACAACCCCGCTCTAAAGACGGAAGTGCGACTGTATACAATCCCTTTTGATTCGCTGCCAGACAAACATGTTTACGTCCTCTGTTCCTCCGAAGCCTGCCCCCAAGCCCTGTTCCCTTCTCTGCGGCCGCTCCTCTCTCCTCCCGCCCTCCCTCCCCCTCATGCATGCGGGCGAATCGCGATGCCGTGACCCACCCGGTCGCGCCCGACGCGCGTGCGGATCGCCGCTGCCGCGCTGAAAACGGAACAGCTGCCCCCCCAAAACTATCGGGGGGGGGGGGGCGACGCCTCAGCGGCGGCACGCCCGAGGGCCACCCGGTCCTGGACGACGGTCGGGCGTGCCGCCGCCCAGGGGTGGTTCAAGCCCCCCACAACGGGTTCTCGGTGGCGGTCGTCCGGGCGCTGGCAGGACCGGACTCCGTGGAACTCAGTTTCGTGACGTGTAGCGGGTGGGCGCGGGGACGCGCTCCGGAGAAGCACCGACTGCGGCAAATCTCGACCCGTGACTGCGGCTCATCTTTGTTGCCTTCGGGACCCCATTACTGGTTAACCGGCTCCCGTTGTCCAGGGTTCTGGCTATGTCCGAGTGGGCCCCGTTGATCCTCTGAGCGGATGGGAGAAAGCCGAGGATGTCGCCTAATTCCTGTATTATTCGCGATACTGGCCGTGACCAGCTCCGACCTCCCGCGCTCCCCCCTGGACACGTCACGATTCGCGCTGGCGCCGTCTGCGAACTCTCGATGCCTAAGCATGCCCAGACGGCGCCTGCGCGAATCGCGACGTGGCTCTCCGGACATGCCCGTGTTCGCCAGCGGACAGACTGTTTTCGCCGGCGGCAAGGCAGAGGCGGTCCGCTCCAGCGTGTGGCTCTAGCCAGAGAGAAAAACGATCTCCTCCCGAGCAGACCTTCCGAGACTGCGCGAGAGGGCAGGGACGGCGAGAGGGGAAGGAGACAGAGATCCCTACCCCTAGTCCCTCCTCCCTCCTTGGTTGAACGGCTTGTCTTGCAGACCTCGTCTGTCGTTGTTTTCGTTTTTCGCGTTTACCTTCTTCCCTCGTCATGCGGGTCGCGGGGGCCGCCCATGCATCCTCTCATGAGGCTGGAGCGGGATCCGCGGCCGGCCGTCCGAATTTTATCAGCAGCAGCAGCAACACCATCGCGATCATCATCAACATCCTCATCGTCAACATCCTACTCATTATCGCCACAACCACAAGCATCAGCATCCCCACACACCATTATCAGCAATATCATCATCATCATCATCATCATCATCAGCAGCAGCAGCATCATCATCAGCAACATCATCATCATCATCACCATCAGCATCATCCTTCTCATCATCATCACCGTCATCATCATCGTCATTTCCGTAATCATCATCACCATCAGCAACATAAGAATCGGCATCATCATCATCATCACCATCATCACCAGCATCAACATCAGCATCACCAGCAACATCACCAGCATCAGCATCGTCATCATCACCATCATCAGCATCACCATCATCATCATCAACCTCAACATCATCAATCGCACCATCAACAACCTCAACACAATCAACATCATCACAAGCATCGTCACCCTCATCGCAATCAGAATATATATATATATATATTATTCTTGTCATTAATTATATGTACCGTCGTCCCCACCGCCATCATAATCCGTATCATCATCAGCATCATCAGCAACAACACAACCACCATCATCAACACCGTCATCATCGTCATCATCAGCATCACCATCATTTACATCATCATCATCATCATCATCATCATCATCATCATCATCATCATCATCATCATCATCATCATCATCATCATCATCACCATTATCATCGCCATCGCCATCGCCATCACCATCATCATCAACATCATGATCACCACACCACCACCATAAACATCATCACCATCATCAACAACAGTATCATCATCATCATCAGCAGCAGCAGCAGCAACAGCAACAGCTTCATCATCATCATCATCACAATCATAGCACACCATCATCATCATAACCATCATCGTCAGCAGAGTCATCATCACCATCATCATCATCAGCAGCAGCAGCAACATCACCAACAACATCATCATCTGCATCATCATTAGCGTCCCGCCACCATCATCATATCGTCATCAGCCTCAGCCTCAGCACAAGTATCAGCGTCATCCTCCTCCTCCGCCTCCTCCTCGATCGTAGCCGCGGCGGCCAGGTCTGTCTATGCCGCGCCGCGCCCGCGACGCGCATGGGCCCCGGCGAACTGGACACGACTTAGAGGAACAGCGCCTCGTGCAGCTTCGGCCGAATGGGCATTCGGAGCCTGGTAACCACTCCTCCTCCTCCTCCTCCCCCTCCTCCTCCTCCTCCTCCTCCTCCTCCTCCTCCTCCTCCTCCTCCTCCATCCGTCCTCCTCCTCCTCCTCCTCCTCCCGTCCTCCTCGGGGGTTCGCGCGCCGACTAGGGGGCGGACCTGCCAGTCGCACGGCAGCTCCTGCCAGTGGGCCGGAGGGGCGGGGACGCGGGAACGAGCCGACCCTCGGGGGCGAGCGAGCAGGGCCGCCCTGGGCAGCGGATCGGACCCGGACATGCTCGCGTCGTGAAGCAATAATCCGGGCGGAAGGTGTTTGGCAAAGTTTGGTCCCTGTGAGGTCTCGCCGGGCTTCGGGGACGTCAAAAGACGGCTCGGGATGAAACATGAGAAACCGGTCCCGGGGAAAGGGTCAGGGACCCCGTATGGAAAAAAACAGTACGCACGTCCGGGGATTGATCCGGCAGGAGAAGCCGTCGAGCTCCGCAGCGCTGTGTCGGCGGCGAGCGAGGGGAGGGAATGAGAAAGAGAAGGACCTCACAGAAGGCGGCGGGGCTTCTCAGGAGCCTTCCGGCCTTCTGAGAAGTGCTTTGCGTCTGAAAGCTTATCCTTCTCACGAGCCTTCTGACGAGGTCTTCTCCTTCTCACTTCCCCCCTCGCTCGCCGCCGAATATGCTCCCCCCCCTTCTGAGGGGGCACAAGCGTGGGGCATAAAGCTCCACAACAGATTGGCAATGCCTATGCATCCAGCCCTGCCCGGCGGCCAAAAACCACTGCGGCCCCAACCATCCACCCGGGCGGGGGGCTCAAGATTTGAGCCCCCGTAATGGGAAAGGCGTGGGACACGGTCGGATTCCTCGTTCACGGGCTGTCTGGGAGTGCCAGAATCGTCCAGAATGGCTGCCTGAGGTTAGATTTATCAGCTAGAACTATCGGAGAAGTGCCAGTCGAGACGTCGGCGGCACTGGAGTTTCTGGCCCTTTCTGGGTCCCCTGGAGGCTCAAGGTCGCCACTGCTGAATCCGCCTCGACAAAAACATCAGAATTAGAGGCCTCCTAGATGGGGTCGGAGTAAATGGGGTCGGAGGATCGCGCTGCATCGCCGATACATCGGCGATGCATCGGCGATGCATCGGCGATAAGCCGGCGATGCATCGCCGACGTCGTCGACGCATCGGCGACGTCGGCGACCAACGGGCGACGTCGGCGACGCACCGGCGACGTCGGCGTGGGGAAAATCGGGCCACACATCGAGCCGCATCGCCGATGCATCGCCGATGCATCGGTGATGCGGCGCGATCCTCCGCCCCCATCTATTCGGACCCCATCTGGGAGGCCTGGAAGAATGGAACCCGGGAGGGGATTCCCAGCGGATCTGGGCCGGGCAGGAGATCTGCCGTTGTCTCAACTGGCCATCCTCCGATTGGATGCTCTTTCGCTTCGAGGCGCTGGCCAGCGGCTGCGACCTGCCAGAAGCGCCCCAGCCCCGACCGTCCCGAGCGACCGCCGTGGACCCAGGTGGTGGCCCAGAAGCCGACCCCCTCGCGCTGTGAACGAGAAATCACGGCGGGAGGTGTTGCTGGCTTGGAGCCTCTCGAGGCCCTTGCGTACCCCATCCCACTTCCTTGTGACAAGCATCCCCTTGTGAATAATTCCGCCGGCGTTCCGCCAGAGTCTTGTACACACCGCAAGCAGTACATGGCGGTTTGGCGTGAATAGCTAGATTTCACCTTTGCACCGCCCATGATCGTTTTTCTGAAACACAAGACAGCTCGACGCTTCGGCCCCACCGCCCGCCCAAACGGCGAGCATTAATCGGGCAGCCCAAACGCCCAGCCCACCGCCAGCCAAAAATGCCCACATTTCGTCCTCGTACTACTCGTATTCCTCCCCAACCTCCTAGCCGACCTGATCGTCGTCGTTGTCCTCCTCCTCCTCGTCCTCCTCCTCATCCTCGCGGCCGAGAATAAAGCCGTCTCCGATCGGTTGCGCCATAGGCTGCGCCCTCGGCGGCCGAGAATAAAACCGTCTCCTATCGGTTGCACCATAGGTTGCGCCCTCGGCGGCCGAGAGTAAAACCGTCTCCTATAAGTTGTGCCATAGGTTGCGCCCTCGGCGGCCGCACGCTCGTGACAACAGTGCGCACGAGCTTCACGGATTGAGGGCTGGCGATTCTCAAAGTGTGGCTCTCGCCTTCGCGCCGTGAACATTCGTCCAACAGAAAATGCAAGAGCTTCACGGATTGAGGGCGCTTCCTCCTGAACACGTGGCATGCGGCTCTCGCCGCACCGCCGCGCACATGCGCTTAAAGCATTGAAAGAATGTCACAGGGTCCCATGGTTAACATACCAGAGGCGGCGTGGGACCGATTCTGGATTGCCAGGGCGCAGAAGTTTCGTTGACTCGCGGTGTTGCACTCCCACGGATGGCGTTCTGGCACGAATGATGATTCGTGGCGTTGGAGTTCCGAGAACGGTGCTTTGGCGAGCTTGTCTCCCAATGGGGCACTTCCTTCAGTGGTGACGAGTCCCTGCTGGGGCCTGCGAAGAGGGTGCGGGGTAGCAGAGTTTCTCCCAACTGCGTTGATGAATATTGAGATTGCGCTGCTGCTGCTGCTGCTGCTGCTGCTCCTCATCCTCCTCCTCGTCCTCCTCCTCCTCATCCTCATCGTCCTCATCGTCCTCCTCCTCATCCTCCTCGTCCTCATCGTCCTCCTCCCCTCTGGAGCGTTGGGGGCGAGGCTCCTCCCGAACCAACGCCCAGAGCCTCTCGACGAGGTCCGGCTCCGGCAACGAGTCGTCCTCCAGGACCAGAGCCAGCCGGGCGCCCTCCTCCAAGGCCTGCGCCTGCGAGCCGGCAAGCGCGGCAGCGGACCACAAAACGAACGACGGCGGCGACGGAGGAGCGCTGCTGGAGGAGGAGGAGGAGGAGGAGGAGGAGGAGGAGGAGGAGGAGGAGGAGGAGGAAGAAGAGGAGGAGGAGGAGAGGAGGAGGAGGAGGAGGAGGAGAGGGAGGAGGAGGAGGAGGAGGAGGAGGAGAGAGGAGGAGGAGGAGAGGAGGAGGAGTAGGAGAGGAGGAGGAGGAGGAGGAGGAGGGAGAGGAGGGAGGAGGGGGAGGACGGGGGGAGGAGGAAGAGGGAGGAGGAGGAAGGAGGAGGAGGAGGAGGAGGAGGACGAGGAGGAGGAGAGTGCGGCGAGGCGCGGCAAGCGGCGGCGGGGGGCACAGGACGAACCGAGGCCAGGCGGCCCATCCCTGTCGACGATTCGCCCCTCCTGGGGGCCGCCCGGGACTTCTCGTCGCCACGGCTGGGCCCGCGCCGCACAACGGGTCGGGATGGACCCCGCGGGGGGGGGGGGGGGGCCTGGGTCCGATCGGCCGACGGCCGACGGACGGCCGACGCAGGCGGCCCGCTGTGGAGGGGGGCGGGGTCCCGCGGAGAGGCGGCGGCGGCGGCGAGGGCCAGCGCAACGAACTCTGGCCGACGACGATGGACGACGGACGGCCGATGGCCAACGGCGGCGAAGCGCTGGGGGAGCTCGGGCGGCGAAGGCCAGCAGAGGCATGGACGACTGAGGACGGACGGCCGACGACCGGCAGCGGACGACCGATGGGGAGGAAGCCTGAAGGCGACGGCGGCGGCGGCAACGAGGCCAATGTGCGGGTAATGCTTCTGTCCATACCCACTGCAGCTTGTTTCGGGCCCCCGAGACGCACTGGATATGGACTACAAATGTGGCCCCTAGGGTTCCATATATATATATATATATATATATCGATATACACATATATATATAGCAATATGCATGTCCATATCCAGATCCATATCCAATGCGACTCTGCTTTGCGGCGGCCCTATCTAGGAAATATGAGGCGCACTTGTTTGTTGTGTTTACATATATATATATATGTATATATGTACACACAGATTGCCCGAACAACGAAAAGAGGTGTATCGTACTGCGCTTGTTGGTTATATGATGTATGTATGTTTGCTCCTCACAATCGTCACCACAACGACATACATGATATGCCCTGAAATGTTGAACCGCATTGGACCTGTGGGCCCTCCTCCTCCTCATCCTTCCTTCCCCTTTCTCCCAATTATCAGACGGCATGCCCCGGTCGTGCCCTCGCCCTGGAAACCGTCGGCGACGATGACGAAGGACTGGTGGCGGCGGCAACGACAACGTCGAGGACGACGGCTCCCGAGATCCGCCCAATAGGGCCGCGTCTTGAAGCCATCCTGGAGGCGTTCTCGGCTGCCGCCTTCGCTTCCCGGAAACACGACCAACCGACACCGCAACCTTCTATCAAGAGAAAGACGGACCCCATCGTAGGGTCCATCAGAAACGCCCCCCCCCCCCTGGGCCCTCAAGCGGGCCCTCCGGGAGACCAAGCAGCGCGACAAAACCGCCTCGAACATCGGTCATGGCGCCCTGCCCTCGACGGGGACGACAACGACGAACCGACGACAACGACAGGGACGACGAGGCCGACATCGACGACCGACGCGACGACAAAACGACAAAGACGACGATGACAACGACGACGACGATTTCGATGACGACAACTACAAACGACGACGGCGCCGACGACGGCGCCGACGACGGCGGCGGCGACGACTTCGCCCCGAGGTCATTCGTGGGGTGCGCTCCGGAATAGACTGCGAAAGAAATCCTCAACCGGGGCGTCGACCGCGCTCGAGGCGGCCATGAGAATGCGCGGAGGCGCGCAAAAACCTCGACGCTCGATCCACCGACGGCAGCGGCGGCGACGAGTCCACCCTGGCAGGTCTTACGAGCTGCGCCCAGCAGTGGCGACGAGAACTTGTAGAAATTCTCAAAATTCCGAAGCCACGTCGCGATATAACTTTCTGCATGTATGTATGCATGTTTGTGCATGTATGTATACAGATACGTGCGATGTGTATATATCCATGTATGTATGTAAGTATGATTGCGTTGTTTTGTATGTTTGCGCATGTATACATATCTGAATGATTATATATATATATATATCATGGAGACATGTGTGAAAACGCCACCAGCCGACCTGGAACGATAAACTGGAGGACGCTCCGCGCTCGAAGTCGGAACCACGTGGCAGCTCTTATTTCGCCTCTGCCCAACGCGCCACCACCCAACGTGCCAGTCACCACTGCGACCAAGCACTGGAGCAGCATTTGTCTCGCCGACGCAAGCTTCCAACAACCCAAGAAATGAACGCAACAACGACAAAGCCAACCAGCCCGCTCCGCGCCCACGATGGGCTGACTCGGGCCAGGGGCCAGGGGTCGTCCCGCATCGCCCGGATATACAGGGAACGATCTGTCGCTATCAAGACCGTCAGCGGAGGCATGCCTGAAGTGCAAGACCGATCGCGACGACCAGCTCGAGCCTCCTCAGGAAACTGCGCGTCCCCCTCCTTCGATGCGGGCAAAGGTGATATCCACATCCAGTGCGTCCTGGAGTTCGGGGCTCTCTTCCCGATGTCTATCCATATCAAATGCGTCTCGGCGTTGCGGCACCCGTTCCCGGAAAGTCCAAGACGCTCTGGATCTGGATAGAAATATTGTCCGCACTGGAAAGGGTCGCCAACGCCGCCGCCTCCGAAACGGTAATCCCGATTCGGCTACGGCCGATTCGGGTCCCCTCCACTGTCTTGGCCCGGCGACTCCCCGGTCGCGCCAGGGTGTGGAGGGGGGGTCTGGCTTCGGCCAGGCTCATGGGGAGTCCTGCTCTGTCCCCCTTGGGCAAGGGGACTGGGGGGAGCAGGCCAGGGCACCCGCCCCGAGACTCGCACCAGGTGCCCCGCCTGGTGGCGAGGGGTGTCCTGTGTCCCCAGCCAGTGCCTGGAGTGCCTGGCGGGTGGCAGGGGGGCCCCCTCCCCTCGGGGGGGGGCCGGTCCTGGAGGCGTTGGACGTGCACGTGCACCTCTGAGTCGTCCCCTCCCCTCCCAGGCCGTTTGAGGTTTGGAGCGGCCGAGGTGCACTAGGTCTCTCCCAACACACTGCATATGCCCTGGCAGTGTGGGTTTTGATTTCACTACGTGAGGGCGGAAATCCTAGAAATCCCTCGCCGCCAAGCATTGCTCCGGGCGACCCACGGGACGGGAGAGCGCAGGGGGCCATGAAAGATGGGAGATCCCATGGCCCATGCCATGACATCCCCAAACACACACACACACACTCCCCTTGTCCTGACTCCCCTCGACCAGCCCAACATGGCTTGCGGGTCATATAACTGGGGCGTGCTCAAAGGGCCGTTCGGAACGACCCGGGTATTCCTGGAACGCTCTCGACGAGGCGCAGCTGCTGGAGAGCATCCCGCGGCGAGAAAACCTCGGGGAACCAGCGGAAACTTCCCCCTCCCCCCCTCCCCCTTCCAGACAACGACGTCGTCGTCGGTGTGTGTGTGTGTTGTGCGTGTGTCGCGTGTGTGTTGCGTGTGTGTGTGTGTGTGTGTGTGTGTGTGTGTTGCGTGTGTGTGTTGTGTGCGTGTGTGCGTGTGTGTGTGTGTCGAGCTACCGAAAGGACAGCGTCCGAATCACGTGTGAAACGAACACAGCCCTGCCCAGAAGGCCACTGAGGTCAGGGGGCCCTCGAGGCTCAAGGAGGCAAGAGAGCACAGAAGCGGTCCCCAGACCGCCGAAAGCAAGGCCAAAAGGGCCTGCACGAGCTCTTAGGGCGACACAGGGGCCCCCGCGAGCGGCCCCGACCCTAGCCCAGGCGCTTTCCCGAGGGGTGGAGCCCAGCCGCGAGGTTGTCCCGTCGCCTCGCTCGCTCCCGCTCCGCGGGAGTCCTGCACAAGTGCAGGGCAGGAACAGTACCCGGGCACGGCTGTGACAAGAGGCGAATCTGCTTCTGAGCAACCCCTCCACGCCGCCTGCAATAAACGTATGGAGGACAAGTCAAGAACTCATGCCCGTTCTCAAAGACGGGTGACTGAGCAGCTCCTGCCTCTCGAAACTCAGCTCGCGAAAAATCTGTCCCACCTCCAGCTCCCGCGCACGGCCCGCCCCTATCCCCGTCGATAGCAGCGGCCGCAGCAGGCGCTCGGGCGGCCTGGCCCCTCGGGGGAGGGGCCTCGTCAGCCGCAGCCGCCGCGCCCGTGGCCAGCGGCGGGGTGGCGGTGGCAGGGGGGGGGCGGTCGCGCGCGCGCTCCGCGCATCGCCTCGCACCTCGCTCAAGCTGCTGGCTCCGCCACTCTCCCCACCACCACCTACTCCTCCAGCGGCCACAGAGGGGGGCGAGGGGGTGGCCACCGAAGGGCCTCGAGCAGCAGCAAGGAGACGGGCCACAATGGCCTCGTGCGATTCACGCTTCCCTCCTCCCTCCGACGACGACTGGGACGACGCACCCTCCCCCGTTTGAGGCTCCCCTCGCGGGGATCTGCTGGCCTCACGGCTATCATCGCGCCTCGCAACGCCACAAACGACAGCAGTTGCCGTCAAAGCGGCGGCCACGGCACTAGAGGAAGGGGCAGGGGCAGGGCTAGTGACCCCCTCAGCCTGCAGGAGAGCTTCGGCACGCTGCCGCTTCAACAGAGTGGGGCGACAAGGTCGGCACTCGATTGTACGCCTAGTCTCAGTGGTAAAAGCCGAGAGATTGCAATTCAGGCAACGCACTCCTCCACGGCAATGGATGAGCCGGTGCGGGTTCAGGGCAACCCTCGGAGGCGCAGGAGGAGGCCTGGGGGCCCGAGGCTCAGGCTGGGAAGGGCTCCAGAACTCCGACCCCCAAAATCTGCGCACCAGCCCAGGAGACATACTTAGCATTCGCAATAGCTTCTGTGAGCCGTATCTCTAAGGCCTTATGAAAGCTCGGGCTATGACAGACAACATGTAA